CTGTCCTTAAATATTGTGTTTTCCTGAGCTTTTATTCAGAAGGGCTTAGGCATTTCCTGAAATATTTTGGCACCATCCCTAGGCTGTAAATATTATCTGTCTGATTAGAGAAAATCCAGTTGTTTGGTGTCGCTTTCTTTTTTTTCTTCTTGTCTTTACAAGCCGTGCTCAGTGCTTACTTGAAACTCCACAGCACCGTGTGTTTCATTTGGTGCCATCCAACCATGTAAATCAGGCAGCAACCTTGTTTTCTGTCACCTTCCTTATGTCAGAGGCTTCCTTTGTGCCTCCCAGGAGGTACAAGACATGGTAAATGGAGAGATGCAGGTGGTCCTGATGTAGCTCTGCTGGTCCTTCATGCTGCAGGGACGTGAACCAGTTGGGTTTCAGGAGTCCCACTGAAGACCATACCCAAACTAGTACCACCTGCTCTCAGCACTGTCTTCCGTCCAGGCATGTTGATGGCTTCTGGAGCCCAAGCTGGCCCATGTCTCTGTAGCTTTGGGTGGAAATACATATATTTCGTGACAGGTGGCACTCGACCGGGTAGACATGGTCTCTGATGAGTACCGCATGGCATGGACAGCAATTGGAACCCACTTCCAGCATGGTGGTGACATATTCCAGAAGACCTGGATGCTTCTTTGATCCCTCAGATGCTTTTTAAGAAGTAGCATGCCATCAGGGAGTTTGGGATGCTCAGTAGAAAATAAAAGTCCGTTAGCTCTAGCAGTAGGTCCTGATGTCTCATGCATTACCCAAGTTAATGTATTTTTAGGTTCTTCCAGCATCTGTTTCTTTCAGAGGTCAAGGTGGTCCTCAATATGAACATCCACTTTCTAATTATGCTCCTCTGTCTGCCTTGCTGGTCCTTTTAGCAGATTTGCCACTTCAGACCTGTCTTTAATCACCATGGAGATGAAGAGCAGCCGTAAGCAGAGGCAAAGACAAGCACTGAAATCCTTCCAGCATAGCTCATTCACCAGCCCTTTTTGGACCTTTCACGCATCAGATGTGCCACTAAGGAGACAAAAGCAAGGTGTGACTTCTCTGGGCTGTGAAAGAGCCACGATGCTGGACTGGGGGTTGTCCCCAGATGAAGAGCAGCAGCCTGAATTTCTCTGGGAGTTACCACATGCCCTGGGGTGGGGTGTTGCAGGGCTGGGAGGTGCCCTGGGGTGCAGGACGGGGCTATTTGCCTCCTCTGGGGGTAGGAGAAACCTCTGCAGCAACATGCTGGAGCCATGCAAGGCTGCAGACAGACTTCATGGTTGATGAGTCAGGTGTGCGCACGTGATGTGGAGCCGCTGGAAGGCTGATGTCTGCTGTGGAGCAGCTGATGGGATCTGCTCTGGCTGAGAACACTGCCGTCAGGCTGGGCTGAAAATACAGATTTGCAGGCAGTGAATTTTTCTCTGCCTTATGCTGTTTCACCGTCCTATTTCTTTGACATGAAACAGAAGAAATGAAACAACTTTTTCTGCAATATTCTACTTTATTAAAATCTCTACGCAGCATACTAGCTGGGGAGGTAAATGGTCCCCTGAAAGACTAATGCAATTTTCTTATTATACTTGAACAACAGCCTTCCTACCTTGCTATTCTTGAGAGACAGTGTTCCCATCTCATTCAATGCAGCAATTTACATGATTTCAGGGGGGGAAGTTGGTCAACAAACATGACAACAATTTTGGGCAGTTTCTACAGGTCACTTCAGAATTTGGAGAGTCCCTTCAATCCATATCTGAAACTATTAAGTGCAATCTAAAGGCGAGTCAACTCAAACTTACAGGGTCTCACTGGATTCCTGGACACTAGTTCAGACATCAGCTTGTCTGTGGTACATGCCAACTATGTGAAAATAATGTTCGTTACTTAATGCCCACTACTGAAAAGAAAAAAAACATTAGTCCAACGTTCACAGATAGTGATCCAGGCATTACACTGAAGAGTGGAGCTGAAAGTTATCCTTATATTATGGCTTATCAGTGTACAGGACTACAAATTACTTTATGCAACAGCCAGAAATACATATTTCTAGATATGTTTGTAACACAGAGGTGAAGATAGTTATATAAAAAAATGTTATAATACCACTGCATAAAGCATGGTTAAGATTCATCTGGAAAACTGGCTAAAATTTATAACATCTCTGCTCAAGAAAGAGGGGTATAAACTGGAAGGAGACTGGAAAGGTTTTTTCATTGAGGAGCCTAGGAGAGCTTGATTTGTTCAGCCTAGCAAATCAAAGGGTTATGATCACTCTCTATGCATTAGAGGAGGAAGAGCGGTTACTCAAGCTCCAACTTTGGCACAAGAACATAGATATAAACTGGGTCCAAATGCATTCAGGCAGGAAATTGGAAGAGGTTTCAAACCATCAGAGGTGTAAGGCTCAGCGGCAACCTGCCAATAGGGAGAGCGACGGGTAAAAACCCAAGACTGAGCTCCATAAATTACAACGTGATTAGAAAATGTGGTTCTTGTAATAGCAGTTGGCTACACAGGATGGCCAAGAGGCTCCTATGGGCTCTAATCCCACTTGGATTGGACCTCAATAAGAAGTTGTCTGATGGCAGAAGAGTGACTTCTCTTCAGGAAGATATGGACACAGATGGGAATGGGAGAGGTGGCTGTACAGGAGGCAAGGCGGAAGCTCGGGATGTAGGCTTTGAGAAATACTCTTTTTCCTGCCTGACATTCAATGGGCTGATAAAGAAATAAGTGTGAAAGTCTTGAAATGGGCAGACACCAATAGAAATGTGTCCTCAGCAAAGCAAAATCCCAGGCCAGGCCTGGCTGCAAAAGACAGAGGAAGGCAATTTCGGGAGACAGTTTGTCTGCTGGGGCTGGCAGTCCGACAGCTGATCCTTCTTGCACTGACATAAGTTTGAGGGTAGATGTTTAAAAATAAGTACTTTTATGATGTGTTTTTCACATTTTTAGGCAAGGCATGTGTAAATACATGTGAATGCGCAGCCTTGAATTCCTTGAGCCTGTGGTTTGGAGAAATCCAAAGGAGTTATAACATGCCAGCTTGAATTTCTGAATACAAGGGATTTTTGAGGATTTCTGTCTTTATTGTGTCTCAATAATAGGAGCAACTGGTTACGGGCACAGACTTTCAATTAAACAAAAGATGGGGCTCTACTTCAGCTGCGGTGCGGCTTTCTGTATGGCTCCGGCATGCCAACATTCAAGATCCTTGCATGAGCTAAAAGAACTTAATTCCCTCTTGCTGTCAGCACAGTTGCTCTGATTGAGTCCATTAAAAAGTTATAAAAATCTCATCTGAACTAAAATTAGTAGCATGAAGGTTCAGGGCACCATTTTCCTCTAAGCGAGCCATTAGAGCTTGGACCTCAAGAGCTTTGCAGTGTGGTGTGAAACGTGTAGCTGTCATGGGGAATTTATTCAGGGACTAACATACGTGTTGATTTCTGTTCTTGATCTTTTGCAAGACCTATAGCAAAGGCTTGCATTATAAAACCTCCAGGCTTCATCAGTTGTTGTTTGGGTCATGAAGTGAGGAAAGGAGAGCAGAGATGAACCTACAGTGAACATGCATTTGCACCTTACCTAAAGATACCCACTTTCACCACCTTGATGTGGCTGAAAGTACATTATCTGGGCCAGTCATCTCTAGGGGGACGCTTGCCTCACTTGTGCCTATGTGTCATGGTCAAGTGCATTTTACCTTCTCATACTATCTTGAGCCCTATAAGTTCAGTAAACTGTTTCACTCCTCTAGAGACTAAAGTCTTGCCATGCAGCAAGGAAGGAACAAGACAGACCAAAGCAACCCTGTGCCCCAAGCCTGCATAGTAATGAGGAGCAGATAAGCTAATTTATGGCCAGGTAAAGGAAGGACAAAAGGCCCATGGAGAGCTCGACCTTCCTTGGTAGATCCTGTTCCTGAGAGCAGAGCAGGGTGGATGGGAAGCTGAGGATGCTGAAGAGGAGCTGTAACTTTTGTACGTCGGTGCCAGAAGCCGCAGCCGCCTCTCACTCTGCCCCCCTTGCACACGTGTGCGCCATAGTATTTTACTCAAAAGCTGCATTTCAGCACATTTTTAAAAGCTCTCCAATTTCACTTTGAGGTAGCGGTAAGTCCATCACCTCCCCAGTGAACTCTTTCTATATCTAAATAGCCTGGCAGTTAGCGGCTCTTATTTCAAGGCTGGAGCTGTCTAAACCCAGCCTCCAGGCATCAGACTGTGCCGAATGCTTCCCAGCTGGATGGAGCAGCGATCCTGCACATGAAATGCTTTTTCCGTGTGCGATAGCAGTGCTGCGTGACTTGGGGGCAGCTGGGGCGGGTAAGGAGATCCTGGAGCTGTTCCCTCTGCCCAGGAGCATTGCGGATGGAGGAGGTGCGAGTGCATCCCATGCTGCAAAAAAAAAAAAAAAAAAAAAAAAAAAAAAAACCAAAACAAAACAACAAAACAATATGGAAAACCCATGCATGTGGGCTTTTTCTCCATTTCTGTATCCTGAGGTGTTTGCCTGGTCACGGTGAGGTGAGGGGAGCTGTTAAAATTATTTAATCCCTGAACAAACTTATTATCAGGGAGGGAATCAGCTTCTTTTGGTAGGCTGTGGAAACAATACCACTCACCTGACATGGTTTGCATGGTTTTTAAATTTGAAGTAGCTGTGTGGTGATCAGCAGAGGTAAGAGGCAGGGGAAGAGCACGGAGTGGAAAAGAACAGAAAAACCCTGGACTACACAATAAAAACTTGTCCTGGAGCTTTATTCCAGCGTACAATTACAGCTTTTCCTTGTTGTGGCACTATTCTAGTATGCTACTCTGTGACTTATAAATACAAGGTCTTTTTAAGTGGCATACCCAGAGGAATTATCAGCTGTGATCAGTGCAGCAGATGATCATTATAATTGCTGGTGTTCCAGGTGCCTCTGAATGGTGCGAAAGCGGTTCAAAGACCATTCTCGGATGCTTTTGAAAGCACTGTTTCTGGCTCCTTTTAATCCAAATTAGATTTCTGCTCAAAAAAAAAAAGAAAAATCATGGCATGCACTTTCACAAGTCTAAAACTTGAAGATGTACGGCCTTCATTCAAATGTTCTTTTTTGATGCCAGCAGGAAGCAATGTTTCCGCGGGATCTCTTACAGACCAAGAAGTGCTCCAAAGGCTTGGCAGGAATGGATGTCATTCTCAACTGGTGAGCAGCAACGCTCAAACGACTCGGCTGCTGTTAGCTGTGGGAGAGGAGCGCGTGGAGAGCCGCAGAGTGTGCCAGAACAAATAGCACTTTAGGAAAATGATTTTTCCTTTGTTCCCTGCCTTTGTCCCTGTGACTCGGGAGCGGGTTTCCAAGAGCAAACCCGGTGTTATGGGGCACCGGACTGCCTGGCACCAGGACTTGCATCTGCCTTGCACCGCCATGAGCTGGCACATGGGCACATTGATGGATGCGGGGGTGATAACTATTCTCCCAACCAGGATTGCTGGGTCATGGCAGGGGACCCCAGCTCCCTCCTGGGCTGCGTGCCTGGCTGCATCCCCACGCTCGGCGGATCCGGCCAGCAATTCCCACTCTGTTTCGGAGCATCTGGCCTTGCTGCAAGGATTATTTTCCTTCAAGAAATAAATAAGTGCTTTGTATCCTAATGACCATGGAAAAGGAGGATGTGCCAGACTTTGGTCAAAGCACACTGAACCCCTTTCCCAGTTTCACACGTGCTATCATCTGTGGAGCTCGTGTGTGAGCCTACGTGTACAAGCACCTGCAATGTTTTGCAGGCACGTTCAGAGGGTTATTTGCGTGTGGCTTTGTTTTGGGGCTTTTTTCCCCTTTGTTTTTCCAAGGGAGGCCAGCAGGGACAAGAGAAATACTGAAGACACCAGATTAATTTCTCCATCAATTTTAAGTGCTGGATGTAAAAGATCGTTTAATGGCTGACGTGCAGTTAAAAGCCAGCACTGGGGAGAAGCGGGCGAGCTGCAGGAGCAGCCCTACTCGCCTGGGCCAGCACAGGCTTGTCGGAGCCACTGGCCGCCTTCCTCCCGCTGCAGCCAAAGCTCATGGAAGCTCATGCGCAGTGAGCCAGGGGCCGGGGCCACGAGTGAGTACACGCACATGTGCACCCACAGACATTGCTCCGCACATCGTTGCGCCGGCAGCTCCCCACACCAGTGTAGGTACCCCCCTCGGGTGGTGTGGGGGGGGCTGCCAAGGCTGTGGGATCCCTGGCATGGTCCCAGGGGAAACAATGTTGTCCTGGGCGCAGGGGCAGGGGTGTCAGGGCACGTTGGCGTGCCTGGATTTTGAGCAGACTCCACTGCATGTGATGATTTATTCTGCTGTGCCTGAGTGGTGGCTGACCCACCAAGGTCCCGGGACCTTTTGGGGGACATCCGTGTTCAGCCACTCGGTGCGCACAGGCCAGCACGTACTGCCTTCACAAAGCTCTTTGCGAAAGCCTCGCAGCTGGTTTTGCAGTTTGTTTGGTTTCATGAAAGCCAGGCGGGATTGCCCAGCTGGCTGTGCTGGGGCTGTTACGGCTGAGCAAGTCGGCACCCATCAGCTGGGCCACGCCAGGACACTGCGTGCTCCTTTGTAGTCCATCCCAGTGGTACAGTCATCCCAAACAGCCCGGTTTGGTGGGTCCTTTCAGTAGGGGTGTTGTACTCAGGGTGAGTACAACCGAATGCTACTTCCCAACAGCAATTCGTGGCATAAGAAACATGATATTTCCCCTCTGCCTCCTTTAATTCATTGATCAAAGAGATCCTTCATCAATGGCTTAAATTCACAGGTTGTTTGCAAACTTCTCCTTCTAGGAGAAGGTGTAAGACTTTGCCCACAAAGGTACTCGTGTGGGTTTTGTCTTTGGTTACCCCTGGGACCGCCAGTGGAAGCTGCAGTCCTGCCTTTATTTAGTAGGGCTGGGGTAGGTTTGTAAACTGTCAAAGTTAAACTGGAAACACACCCCAAACCTAGGAAGACTGTAGAACACAAAGGCATTTGTAAACTAATGTAATTACTTTCCTCAGTGCCTTTGAATAAAGTTGGCTTCACTTTAAAGGCTTTTTCATACCCTTGTTTTACATTACATTCTTTCTTTTCTCCTGGTTTCTTTCTTTTTTAATTTCTATCTTCCCCCTCTATACCCTCCCCTTTTAGCTCCAAGGAGCTGTTAATTTCCAAAATGCGTATCGGTTTTTGTTAGCAAACCTTGCTGTTTGGACATTTTCCTTTTGAAGGTGAGAATCACACCCTGGGAAGATGGATATCTGCTGCACCAGTTTCTCCAGGCACACAGCCTGTCTAAGCGCCTGGGAGATCTCCCCGGGGCAGGACAGGGCTTGCCCAGCACCCAGCGTGCTGGCCAGCCCGTCCCCGTGGCATTGGGGCCTCGTGACATTTTCTGAAGCCTTACTTTAACCCAGCCTGATGTTTTCCAGATTCCACCGGGCTTTCTCCCATCCAGATGTGAGCAGAGGTCACAGTGAAGAGGGGCAAGTGGGGAAACTGAGGTTGAAACTTAGCCCAGCCCCACACATGGCTCTTGTGTGTTAATGATGCTTGTTAGGATAATGATGGCCAGAGCAGATCTGTTGCGAGGGGAAATAGCATTATGTGGAGCTGCTGTGTTGTACGGCAGGAGTATTTAATAATAAAACAGTTAAAGACACTGCACAATTTAAAAGGGAAATGTTATCCATGCTGGGTCATTGCCCCACACTGTTTTCCTTATCTGGGTGCAGCTCATGTTGCAGAGCCTGTAAGGTCAGTGAGGAGCAGTCGGACGGTGCCTGGGGGGTCTGGATCAGGCCCGTTGGCCACAACGGCCGTGCAAGGCTCCCTAGCTACAAAGGCTTGTGCGTGCTCCGAAACAGAGCTGGACAGAGGAGGAGTTATTTTAACGGAAAACAGTGACCTTTTGTACAAAAGCAAAGTGCAGACTGAGCAGTTTTAGTTTTCCAGCAAGTTAACATTTTCTGCAGGCCTTTTCCCTGAAAATCCGGACTGATCTGAGAATTCCCCCACCCTTTCCTTTTTTATTCTTCCTTATTCTTGATCATCACGGCTGGCTGTGCCAGCCCAACTTCCAGCAGCTCACTCGTGGAGTCGGAAATGCCATCGGTAGCCAGCTGAGCACAGAGGCAGGGGACGCTGGTAGCCTGTGACCCCGTCCCTCCCGGGCTTGGCTCTCCCATCCAGGGAGCTGCGCGCATGCCGTGGGGAATGGGTGATGGATGAGGGAGCGTATTTGCACAACTCTGGGTTAACATCAGCTCAGGCAAGGGGTGTCCTTCTGCTCTTTGTCTGCCCTCTGTCTGGACCTCTCGGGATAGGAGTGATGCCCCAGATGAAAGGATCACTGTGGCCCCCTGATTCAGGTTTGTCCCCAGGGGGGATGGTGGGTGCACAGGCAACGGCGGAGGAAGCCACCAGCAGGCCTAAGGAAAGGGTTTTCTCCCCACACGATGTCCCGCAAGGCGCTGGGCAGCTGCTTCGGCTCCATCCCCTCCATGAGCACCCCTGCAGAAGGTCCCCTTGGCTGATCCAGATCCAAAGCAAACCCTTTAGGGTTATTTCAGGCAGGAGAACACAGGTTAGAGCCTGTTGTATTTATTTTGTTTTGCTTTTCAAACCAAATTGCCCATCCCTGCCGAGCTATGTTGCTGGTGTGATGGGAGCCAGTTCCCGCAGACCTGCTGAGACTAAATGGAAAACTTCCCAGCGGAAGCAGTAGCGGAGCTGGGCACGTACGTCCCACCGTGACGGGCTCTGGGAAGGCAGTGTCCAGGCTGCCAAAGGAAGAACTCACATCCCTGCTTTTTGCCCAGGGTGAGCGTCTTACAGCTCATTGCTTTAGGGACCAGAGCTGCCTGATGGAATTTGGCGGCTCTTCAAAAAAAAAAAAAAAAAAAAAATTCATTTCTGGTTTCCACCAACTTCAAGGACTCAGTGGGCAAACAAAAACTTGATTGCAAGAAAAAAAAAAAAGCACAAACTAACCAACCTGAGTGCAGAGGAAAGTAAGCAGCCTGTCCGCACATGGGGAATTTGGCTGAGAGAAGTCAGCAGGCGCCGGTACCGGCCGGGAAGTCACCGCACGGCAGCACGGTAGCCTGCCAGCCCAGAGAGAGGTACGGCAACCGGGGCATCGCCGGGAGATTTTCATCTGCAAGCTCTGCTATGGACTGCATGAACTCAGGGAGCTCATTTAATGTCATTATGCTGCAAATACTCCTCTCCAGTGCGTATATTTGCTACCTCATGTAGCATGTCATAAGAATTTAAGTGTTTTTATGTTCTTTGATGTCTCTGGATGAAGGATGCTCTATAAATGCAAAGTAAGTATTCTAGTGTACGTAGTTTGTTTTCTTTTTAACGTAACAAAATACTTAGTAGCCTTTCTTTGACAGTTTCCATAGCTGGTGGGTCTGTTTCTGCTGTGCCTTAGTAAAACAAATTTGGGGTTTCTCAGTGGCATATGTTCAGCATGTTCTTTGGCTTCATGACCCAAGCAGTTTCCTTGTCATCAGCACTGCAGAGTTACGGGGAGAAAACTGCTAAAAAATCTCCCTTTCCTTGAAGCCTGATGATGAGGAAAGGTGGATGTTAGGGTTGGTTTGGGGAGGAACCGTAAACTGAGAAAAGTGATTGCAAGCACTGGAGCAGCTCTGCTTGCAGGTAGCTCTGAATGAGACCAGGGAGTGAGCTGAATGCAGAGTAATTATTCCTGAATAATGCCAGGTTTAGATATTTTTTTCTGGAATAATAAGTGATTTCTTCCTGTTGAAGGTAATTCCCCGTATGAGCCACCCCCAGCAGCCTGCGAGCCCGTGGACAAGCTCCCCAGCCAGCCAGCCGTGTGTGACCTGCCTCTGTGTCCCCATCCCTCCCAGTGACCCACAGTAGCTTGCCATCCCGCAGATGCTGTGGGGTTGTGTGGGCAGAGAGGGCTTCTCTGGGGAATTCCAGTCCAGGTGGTGCTTTCTAGGCCAAAGCCCAAAACGTACAGCAAGGGAAAAAGCTGATCAGGAGCCGCTGCAAAGCAAGCATCGTTTGGGAAAAGCCCTGTGAAAGCTGCAGGCAGTGCAGTCGCTCGGAAATGAATTGCTGCAGTGTCTGAGACCCGAGGGAGCGTCCCAGGGGGTTAATCCCACCGCGGCAAAGGCAGAAAGCTGCACATACCGGGAAAACAGTTTGCATGTCTCTAGCCAAGCGCAGATTTAAGGAAGCCATCCAGCCCCCTGCTCCTGCCCAAGCATCCGAGGCATCCAGGTCTGCAGAGACTCCCGCTCCCAGCCGAGCTTTCCCTTACCTGTACCTTCTCCTGGTTCTTCCCAAGCCATTCAACATCACCGTGGCCATTTCGGAGCTGATCCTTGGCCAGCGAGTCCCATGTTGATGCCTGGCCCGGCCCTTGTGTACACGTCCCAGGTGTGGCAGTCGGAGGAGAGACGCTGGGGTTCAGGGTGTGCTTCCTCTCCAGGCTGCCACCGGGCTCCTCCAGCGCCGGGGCAGGCCGTGCCCCACCACGCTAGCTTTTTAATAGCTGATTTTAATTATACGCTCTGAGACGAAAGAGAAAAACCAAGCCTTCCAACAGATTTTATCTGCTGTTTATTTCCACAAATTGCTGCAGAAAAAAGCCCGGAGGGTTTTGATGGAGGTGGAGGCTGAGATAGCCGGCAACACGGAGGCTGCTGGGGCGCAGCCTTTTTAACCTCCTCTGCCGAGGCAGGTGCCGACACATCCCCGCAGCCGGCGAAACATGCTAACGCTATGGAGGCTGACCGAGCAAACGGTAACGAGCTCCGCCGCCTCGCCGGGGCTGCACCCCTCTTTCTTAATGGAGAAAAGGCAATAAACCCAAAGCAGCGCGTGGCTGCTGTTCCCTGCTTGAAATCATCGGGAAGACCCGGCGCCCACTGGCTCGGGGGGTGGCTGCTGGCCGGGCACGGGGGCACGGGCTCGGCTGGGGAGCCCCACTGCAGTCCCCTCTCTTGCTCCGTAGGTGCATCAGTACTACAGCTGCCTGCCCGAGGACAAGGTCCCCTACGTCAACAGCCCAGGAGAAAAATCTCGCATAAAGCAGCTTTTGCACCAGCTGCCGCCGCATGACAATGAGGTTAGTAACCAAAAAACGTCCTCAGACATCTATCAGGGCTGCAGGTGGGGAGGGGATGCACCTCCTGGGGTTCCTCTTGTTGGAAGCATAGCTGGTCCTTTCTCAGCCCTTTCTGCTTTACAGGGGGATTTACTTGGAGTTTGTTCATGCTGCTATTTAAGTGCCATATTTGCTTCCTGCTCGGATTGTTTTGGAGGTGGGGAGGGAGCTGTTGGTTTCTAAAGTTAAAATATTTTAAATCATCTTTCCGCAGTTCTCAGAAATAAAAGCATTTGCTCAGCCCTTAGAGGCCAAAGCCATGTTAAAAGTGGCTTGAAATGTTGAGCTCAGCTAGAGCCAGATGTGAAGTTCCAAAAGCCTTTTCCCAAGTGCTGCTTCCGACTCCCCTTGGGAGTGGGAGTGCGTGTGCTGAGGAGGGGTTTCACTCAGGCTGAGCCCTGCGAGCCAGGAGCTGGGGCAGCCTGGTGAGCCAGAAGTTGAGTCAAGACCAGTCAGAGAGAATAAACCTTCTTACATCTTGCAAGAAAGGTGTGAGGCAGCAAAAAGGGTCTGGTCTTTGACATCCTGTTCTCACCAGTGAGAACATTGGCTTCTGGTAGCCCACAAAATTTCCCTGTGTAAACAAAAAAAAATTATTTTCATGCCGCTTTCTGAAGAAGCCGCTCTGGAAAATACATGCAGGTAACTTGTTTGATCTAGGTCAGATTTTAACGAGTTTGCCTGCGTGTGGCTGGGTGCCACGGGCACAGCACGGCACTGCCAGCACTGGGGGAGCTCCAGGCATCAGGCAGGGGCTTCTTCCCGTACACCCTCGGGCCCCAACCTGCCCGCCTGTCTTCCCTGGCAGCTGCTGAAAATCCAGAGCCTCCAACAGCCGAAGAACATAGGAATAAATGCACATGAATGCTGCTTTTGCAGCCCATGCTGCTGCAAGCTGGAGGCACGAGCCTACATGTATTTTCTGCAAACTGGTAGATTTTGCATCCACTTTCCCCTCACGCACAGTTTTGTTCCTTCGAAAATTCCAGGTGTGTTGGTTGCTCATGTGAATAATCCCACTTGGCTCCATGAGCCTGCTCTCCAAATTAATGGAGGCTGGATTGGGCACTAGTGATACACGTGGCCACCTTGGCTCTTCAGTCATATTCTCCATTGAGATGCAATCAGCCAAGAGCTAAGCCTGCAGGATGAAAATAGCCAGGAAAACCTCAGAGTTTTATAAGCTTCAGGGAAATTACATTGTTCATTGTTTGTATCCTTTTACTTATTTCCTTATTACCTTCCAACACAGAGGTTTTGCATATGTGCAAACTTGACCCTATGCTGGAAGAATAGTTGGAGTTCCCAAATAGCAAGAACCCCATAATTTACCCAGGGAAAATGGTCTGTACTCTTGAAATGCCAATAAAACATTTGGAAGCTGCTCTAAGACCTCCACCAGAAGGAGAAAGTAGGAAAATCACCAGTCTGATTGCTGGGTCTGGGTGGGGTTCAGAGGACCCGACTGCTAAGACTTTCCTACAAACCTAGCACCTGAAGAGCAACCTTCCTCCTGCCCTTTCTTCTCATCTCTACCTCTTGAAATTTTGGCTGAATACCAGGATGACTGAAGCCCAGACAGCAGTGTTTCTCCAGACTCCCCTAAACCCAGGACAGAGTTTGTTTGTGTAACCCCCGTGCAGAGGTTTGCAGAGCCGTGTGACCGTGGCTCACTGGCCAGAGAGCCAGGGACACCCGTAACACTGAGCATCGCTTGTGTTTTTTAGGTCCGCTATTGCAATTCATTGGATGAGGAGGAGAAGAGGGAGCTCAAACTCTTCAGCAACCAAAGGAAGAGAGAAAATTTAGGGAGAGGCAATGTCCGGCCATTCCCTGTAACCATGACGGGAGCCATCTGCGAGCAGGTGAGTAGCAGTGGACAAACTGGTGCAAGCAGGGCAGCTTTTGAATCACCAGAGTTAAGTGATGCTCACGGGAGCAGCATCCGCCCCAGGACCCTGTGACCTATGAGCCCTGGGATCCATCAGGGCACCTGCCAAGAGCACCCCACAATATTTGATGTGGAACAGTCACTTTAGCTCCTGGGCTTGTGCAGGGGAGAAGCTGTTGATATCATAGCCACAAAATGGGGATGAAAAGAGATTAAGAGGTACCAGAAAGGAACTGTGAATTAGCACCTTCTTCTACCACAGTCATGAAAGCACTTGGTTGGCGATGGGTGGCAGCGGGGTCACCCACCCCCCATTAAACACCAGCTTTTTTGACAGTGTGGTGGCCAGATCAACGGAGGGGACATGGCTGTGTTCGCCTCACGAGCAGGGCACGGCGTTTGCTGGCACCCTCCCTGCTTCATCTGCAGCGTCTGCAATGAGCTGCTGGTCGACCTGATCTACTTCTACCAAGATGGGAAGATCTACTGCGGCAGGCACCACGCTGAGTGCCTCAAGCCCCGCTGCGCAGCGTGTGACGAGGTAAGAGCCCGCTCGCCCCGACTTCTGTCCACTTAAAAGATATACCCTGCCACAGATGCTACCCGTGGGGATGGCGTGAGAGGGTTCCTCTCACCAACAGGCAGGTAATTCCCTTCCATCCGTCCTGGCAGCGGTGGGTGCTTTAGCACGGGGAGCCTCAGCGCAGAGGCAGCCACACAAAATACGATGGTTTGTCTTTGCCAAGGGTTCATGCAAGCTTTTGTTGGGGTTTCAGGTGAGCATCTCAGGGATTTTTAGTTGCAGTTTGCCTGGGGCTGTTCAGAGAGAGGTCCTCATCTAAATGTAGGCAGCTGGGGAGGCTTTCTATGGGCATGTCCAGTAACAGCACACCCTCCGTGCTGTGTGATTTTAGTCCAGATGTGTGGTGGTCCTCCCTTTTCCTCTGTATCCTCAGAAGAAGCCTCTGGTGGGATGAGTGCTGTGTTTCGTACAAGAGAGTCATGTCTGAGTACACACAGAGCTGAAATAGGCTTTAAAAGAGGCGATTAATGGGCTATAGGAAGCTGAACAAATGGAATACGAAACGAATATAGAAAACCATACAGAGTCGCCTCTGAGCATTTCTCAAGTGTCAATCTCTTTAAAAGGCTGGTGAAGGAAATTGTTCTGGCTTTTAAAGTTATGAAAACCGTAGTGTGGAAAACCATGTGTACTATAAAATACCATGTCCCATCTATGCAAGCATGTAACAGTAAAAATCCAAGGCTATATGCACTTCAGATATAAAGAACATTGACGTATGTATCCAATTAAATTTGTAACGTTACCAGTAAAAAAAACAACTCCTAACCATTTGACTGGCCCTACTTCCTTGCGGCTTAGGCTGGGTAATTTTTTTTCATGTATTTTTTTATCCTTGCAAATTCTCATACAAGTCTTTCATTGAGCTCCTTCTTTAACACACACTTCTTTCCCTGAAACATCCAGCATTATTTGTGAGAAAGAGTAACTCAGGGGTAAGAGGAATTGCGGGGGAAAAGCTCTTGGTGTGACCTGTGCCAGGGAAGAGCCAGGGAGCAGAGCTAGGCTGCTGCTTGCTCCTGCCGCTTGGCTTTGGGACTGGAGATGGGGTGGGGATGGGAAGTAGAGACAGCAAGAAATCATCTGCTGGAACCGTTTCAGATGGCTGTTTCACCAACCCAGTCTTAACAACGGTCCGTGCCTCAGTCTCCCCACTGGTACAATGACTGCTATCATCTTTATGACCACACGGGCTGGGGTAGAGGCAATGGTGAGGAGCCAGGTAGCTCCATCTTCTCTCCCCTCCGGAGAGCTGCCACTTCTCCTTGTGTTTTCACTCAGCTTTTGTACTCGGGTCCTTGTTTCAGAGACGGGTAAATGTGTTTCAGTAAGTGGCTGCTCTGTTCTTCAGAAGTCCACCAGATCGATAGGTTGTATATAAGCGTGTTTATTACCCTGATCGACCCCTCCTGCTGATGGATGTGCTTCCGAGCATGCTAGTGCGAGCTCTGCCTCAGTGCTTTGTAGTCTGTGCACTAACACAGGCCTGAGGTATTTACATTTTAATGGATTTCCTTAAGAAGTGATGGGTGCCCCTGCCGCAAGCCAAACCAACAGGAGTTTCCCATGCAGGACGGGGGGGTTAGCTGTAAAATTTGGAGGTTAAATGAACAAAGGGGCACAGCTGCTAGGAAAGGGCAGGAGATGAAAAGGCTGCTGCCTGCATCCCAGATCCCCTTTCTGACCGACTCTGCTCCCCGCTTGTGTTTGCTCCCTGCCCTCCCCAGATCATTTTTGCCGACGAATGCACCGAGGCCGAAGGGCGGCACTGGCACATGAAGCATTTCTGCTGCTTTGAATGCGAGACGGTGCTGGGGGGCCAGCGGTACATCATGAAGGATGGCAGGCCCTACTGCTGCAGCTGCTTCGAGTCCCTCTACGCCGAGTACTGCGACACCTGCGCCCAGCACATCGGTATGTGCCGCTGCCTCGGCCGCGGGGCGGGAGGGGACCGGAGAAAACCTCGACTTGGAAGGTCTTTCTGGCAACAAAAGCTGTTGCATTAAGTCTTTGACAATGACTTGGGGCTGTGGGCAGGACTGCCTGTGGCTGGGGTCTGCTCCAGCCCTGTGGAATCCAAAGAGGCTCGTGCCCCTCTCGCATCCTGCCAAGGAGCTAGCATGGTAATTTGTTTGGTTAAACCACTGTTTATCCCTTTCTGTGGTCAGAGAGAGGAGGACTATCAGAGAGGAACCTCAGGAGCTGTTGCAACTAGTGAAAGCTTTCTCTAGCCTAATATAATGCACACTTTTTTTCCTTTAATTCTGATTTTCCTGTAGACAGCTTGGCTCTTTGACTCAGATTTTTCCCAACCAAGCTTGCCAAAGGGTCGCATGAGTTAATGAACTACTGACAGGAAAGATGCTTGTTCATTCATCATTATTGTTTGCAGAAAGAAATAATGCATCAGAGTCAAGCTACGTTTCTAGAACAGAGATTGAAAATCTACTTTATTCTGGGGGTTAGCTGTCCCCTCAGCACTCAGGGGGTGGCAAGCCGGGTGGGTTGGGAAGCCACCTCACTGCTGTCCTTGATCCTGTTTGCCACTTGGCTGAGCATTCGCTTGCGGGTGGGCAGGCAGCCCTTTCTTTGTCCGTGGAGGTGAGCTCACATGTTCAAATAATTCATAAACTGCAGGAAGAGAAAAAAAAAAAAAAAAAAACAAAAACAAAACAAAACAAACAACCATTTTGCTCTTGTGCAGTGGCCATATGGCACGGGGAGGAAGATTCAGGGCTTCAGTGAAGCACTTGGAGGACGCATTTGCTGTGACCTGCAGCACATCCTTCCCGAAAGCTCAGCTGCAGAGCGGTGAAGAAGCAGCTGTTAATGCTTCCCGCATGCTCCCTTCTCTTGTGCTTCCCCCATCTGCTGTCCTCCCCTCTGGCCGGCTGGCTGGAGCCTGCTGACTGTCAGGTTTTCAGGGCAAAATGCCTGTTTTGATGCATATCTGCACATTTCTAGCAAAGGAGGGACTGCAGCCATTTTGCTGCAAATTGTTCATAGTAGTCACTAAGCGTTGTGCTTGAGAGCCACATCAATCAGAGCTAAGCGTGTGCTTAAGACTTGTAAGGCTTGGGTTAGGTAGCCAAGGACAGAATAAGTAGGCTGTGCTTCTTCCTCTTTGAGATGGCTTCAGGGCATTGGAAAAGGAGCTGATAAAATCCCACCCACCGTCTTGTCTCTTGTCCACAATCGTAGCCCCCCAGTCTATATAAAAGCAGCTCATTATAAGGGAAGGAAAAAAAAAAACAAAACAAAACAATTACATTAAACCAAATCTAGCTTGGAATAAAATGGACTGTTAGCGTTCTGTTCATTTGCAAAATATCCAGCAGCATTCGGCCCCCCCAGAGATGCGACTGCGGCGGGTGTGCAAGCACACGCGGTGCACACGTGCGGTGCAGCACCCCACCGTGCCGGCCAGCCCACACCGTGCATGGCAGTTTCTCAGGTAATGGGGGTTTTTGCCGTGAACAGCAGCTTAAACAAGTGAATAAACGTTATAATTGAAAGCTCGGGAGCTTTGCTCACAGCTGTGACGAAGAACGATGTGTGTGCAGCAGGCATGTGCTCCCCAGTGTTTTGCTGTGGGGGGGACAAACTCTCTGCATCAATTCCTTTACTTAACCCAAGGGGGGGTGGTGGTGCAACCTGGAAAATTTGGCTGGGTGCAAGGCAAATGTGTGTGCTCAGATCCTTAGGGCCAGCTCTTTCTGCTCCCTTTTGGAGAAGGAGCCCCAGTAACCAAAATAAAGTTAGGATGGGGCCATGGTAGAACCAAGGGGCAGGGATGTCATATGTTCTGCTGCATACTTAAACAACGCAGCACAAATTCCTCATTATGGTTCAGTTGGAGGATTTTTTTTTTTTTTTTTTAATAGGCAGCATATTATTGCTTTGACTTCAAGGACTTTATGGAGAACTTCTTGCATTCCTTTGCTTTATGATCGGAAATATCCCCATTTAATATGAAATAGCTTGAGGCTTGGTTCTGCTGCCTTTCCCAACACTGAGTAACTCCCAAGCAGATCCCGACAGCCTGCAAAGAATTAGAAATGGGCTTAACTTCACGTGTCGGAAAAACCCTGCTGAAGGGCTTTCGGGAGCATGCCTGGGTGCATGTCATTTGTAGGGGCTGCATGTGTTAAGTGATGTGCACAGGCTGCCTCTGACGCTGTGCATCTTCCCCCTCAAGGTATCGACCAGGGCCAGATGACGTACGACGGCCAGCACTGGCACGCCACCGAGACCTGCTTCTGCTGTGCCCAGTGCAAGAAGTCCCTGCTGGGACGGCCCTTCCTGCCCAAGCAGGGGCAGATCTTCTGCTCCAGGGCCTGCAGCGTCGGCGACGACCCCAACGGCTCCGACTCCTCCGACTCGGCTTTCCAGAGCGCCCGAGCCAAGGAGTCCCGCCGCAGTGCCAAGATCGGCAAGAACAAGGGGAAAGGCGAGGAGGGGGCACGCAGCCCGTGCAACCAGCTCCAAGTCACCTCCAACCGCCTCTCCACCGACGTGGACCCGCTGTCCCTGCAGATGGATTTGCTGAGCCTGGCCAGCCAGACGCCGAGCCTCAACAGGGAGCACTTGTGGAGGAGCCGGGACGAGCTCTATCACTACGGGACCAAAATGGAGCAAAGTCAATCCCAAAGCCCTTTGCAGCTTCTCAGCCAGTGCAACATAAGGACCTCCTATAACCCCAGCCAGGTCCCGGGCTCGCAGCCGGATTTATGGGCGAAACATTTCAGCAACCCAAAGAGGAGCTCCTCGCTGGCAATGAAGAGCCACGGCGGCAGCTTCATCCAGGACTGCAGAGAGGATTACTACTCGGGGAGGCTTCGCTCACAGGAGAGCTACAGCGACATGTCCAACCAGAGCTTCCCCGAGACCAGAGGAAGTCTTAAAGTCCCCAAGTACGAAGAGGAAGAGGAAGGCGGGATGCCAACGCCACAGTGCCGCACCCGGCACCCCATCAACGCCCTCAAGTTCACAGAAGACCTGACGCCCACCGAGCAGACTCCCCGCGGCTCCATGGAGTCCCTCGCGCTCTCCAACGCAACAGGTACGTCACCCCTGCTCCTGTCACCCTGCGGCCACCCCGGGACCTCCTCCATACGATGGGGTCCCTTGTGCTCCAAGTCAGTGCCACAGCAGCTGTCTTCCCATTTACGGGGGTGACCAGCAGCTTGGGGACCACCACTCAGTGCCATGGGCTTGCCTGCCCACCCCCGGTGTGCCTGGCAGCCCCTCCTGCTTTGCTCGCTTGTTTGCCAAACGCGAGGCTTTATAGATGGCTGGCCTTTCTGTGTAGCTCAAAACAAATATTTTCAAGCTCTTTAATCCTCCTTTTTGTGAAGAGGGGGAGAAAATCAAGTCCAGCTGCTAACGCAGAGGCAGATTCCACCCTTCAGTGATTGAAGGACTGCTGTCAGCTGCCCTTGCAGGATAAAAATATTTTTGAATGCTTTAAAATGGGCCCAGTTAACCCCTTTTGCATGTTAAGCAGTCCTCAAGCACATGATTAGTTAAATTCCTGCCCCTCTGTGCACAGCTCTTTTTCTCCTCTTCCCCAGTCCACTCGTAGAAGTTGGAGGGAAAAGCCGGGCGAGATGCTTGTCCCATCAGGCTGAGCCCGTTTTTCGTGAGCGCATCCCAGGGTAATATTTCTTAGCCCTCTCACCCCAGACATGTTTGGGTTTCATTTTGTGGCTGCGGGGATGGGTGTGCGTGCACGGACGTGTCTGTGGCAGGGCTCTGGTCCACAGCTCAGCGCTGGGGAAGCTCAGCCCCCTGCGCACACCGTCCTCCTGCTGTAGTTTGTATTATCAGACGGCTGCGCTCGTTTGGCACAGCTGTCACTCGCTTCTGAGTCCCTCAGAAGAAAACTTCACAGAAAAGAAAACACCAAGCCTGGTTTTCTAGCCAGAAATACTGCCTTGCTTTTTCTTTGCTGCTCCCCCAGCTTTTCTCTGTTCCAGCCAAGCATTGCTTAGATTCGGACAGGTCCTGCACCTGCCCCCTGCAAAATGGAGTCTGTCTGTCTTGCTGTCACTGGCAGTGAGTGAACAACCCTGCAGGGTGTTTGGCCCCAGTCCTGAGGGCCCCCTCCGTGGGATGCTGGCAGTGGGTGGTGGGGATGCGCTGGTGAGCATCGCCGACCCGAGCTCTGTGCTCTGCCCGCCTGGACGGACGGGTTTGCTCTGCTACTCCAGTGCCTCCTCGCCCCACTCCTGGGTTTCGGTGTGTTTGTTTAGGGAAGTTGCCAGCCTCGTGCCAAGATGTGAAATGATCTCTGTGCTCAGCCAGGATCTCCCTAACCGGCAAGTGATAAAGCAGAGGCGGAGAGGAGAAGCTAATGAGGTGGAGAGGATTTTGCTCAAACAGCCTCAGATATACACGGAGGAAAAATAGATGTGAAATGGCAAGGGAGGTGGGAATTGCTCTCCAAACCAAGGTTTCCCTAAACAAAGCTTCATGTTTCCAAAGCCACTTGCATTCCTGAAAACTCATGTTGTGTAAACCCCATCAGTACAAAGAGTCTTGAGCAACACCAAGTTCGGATGAGCAATCCCTGAGTATTGGAGGGGTGGTTGCATGCTTTGGAGCTGAAGTGTAACAGGTTATTGGGATACAGGTCAAGAGACAGGAAACGTAGCAAGGCCTTCATATTAGAGTGAAAATCATTCTGTCCTTCATTTTAGAAAGCCCTTTTTAAAATCCTGGGAGAGAGACCTTCCAAAGGTATCTGTCCTCCATACATAGCCAAAGTATGAATTTCCTTACGGGCAGTGCCTGCCTTAATGACTCGCTTCTTTCCTGCTTTCTGGAGCAGATGCTCAGCGTGATGAGGCTTGCAACAAATTTAAGCAGAGCGAGATGATAACTTTTTTATTAATGTGTAAGATTCTAATAATTTTCCTTGGTCTGGGACCTGACTCAGCGCAAGCTGAGGGTCACTGCAGCAGTAACAGGCAGCTCCCCCCACAGCCATGTGTGCAATTATGGAGGACACGATTATCATCCCATTTAATTGGCAGCATTTTGAGGACAGGGAGATTCAGTGACCTGGACAAGGTTTGCGGGAGAGGAGGTTTTTGGGCAGGTGGTGTCTGGGCACAGCACTGGCTTTTCCCATCCCTGCACTCCCTGCCACAGCCGAGCAAGCTGCCCAGCAAGCACCCCACAAAGCTCCCCCCAACACAGCCCAGGGTCCAGCTCACCCCATGCCCCCCACCCTGCATACCCCAGCTCTGCTTTGCAAGAAACTCCCGGGCGCCCACATGCAAGGTCCCTTTGAGCTACTGATGCTGCACAGTTGCTCCACCTTATAAAGTAAAATAATTAACGCTGCATCCGTATAACTTTTTACAGCATTGCTGAAAATGTTCTTTTTTTTTTTATAGGGAGCTGAAGGGCAAACAGTCCCTGACCTGCAGATTACATGTTAAAAGCTGGTCCCTCCCTGGCAGTTTTTGCTGTGATGTTTCTATTACAACTTAACTACTAATTAACTGGAGACATCAGTAAAAGCAGATAACTCACAGGGTGTGCAGCAGTAGTCCTTGTCCCCTGGCCAGAAGGCTGCCTCCTGTGAACAGATGTTGTCCCTATAATATTTGTAATGCATTCAGCGCCAGACCAGGGGTCACCCATTGGGTGGGTCAAGATCTGCATGACCCCAAGTCTGCTTTGGGACCCCAGGTTTTCACGTTACCAACCAGGCTCTACTTAATTGGTTTAAAGCTAATTCCTCTTGGGTTTGTAAAGAGGTGTGACACCGTGTTAATCCTGGGCACTTGCCCGTACAGTGCTCAAATGTGTCTCACCATGGCTAGCAGTGCACCAGCAGACACCTGAGCTGCAGAGGTGGCTGTGACCCTCCTAGTGCCCTGTTTCAGGGTTTGAATTAGATGGGAGTGTGTCTGCCATCCTGTTTTGTGCTGATGTAATCGCCACAAACGCTGATGTGATTTAAACACATCCACTGGCAAAGGACGGAGTTGCCTGGTGGTGGAGGGCATCTCTCTTTTCCTCTCATGTTTCTGTTTGAAAATCCCTTTTCTGCCATCAGCTGAAGTAGCTGAAGTCTACAACAGACTCCGATCCACCACAACTTCTTGGAGACAGGGTCCTCCTCCCGCCCAACATGGCCATTAGAGGGAGGGGCAAAGAGCAAAAAATATTTCCCTGTACATTTTCCAAGAGAGAGCTCATTTTTTGCTGATTTTATATTATCTTTTATTTTTTATTTCCTTTGGCTGCTTTTGCTTTCCTTTTTTTTTTTTTTTTTTTTTTTTAATGGCATTAGCAACAATACAAAACAGTGGATGCTGTAGCAATGTTTACCCTATAACTCCCTTTATTAAGCAATGCTAAGATGGAGTTTGTCCAGGAAGCTTTTCTCATGAGGAAGAGCCTGATCTAACAGAGGTTAATCACTTCCCAGAAGATACTCTGTCCGTCAGAGCCCTGCTCCCTGTGCTTGTGCTCTGCCTTGCTCTGCTTGTGCTTGATTTGCCCTCTAAAAAGATTTTGCAGGCGCTGTATGTGCCTAGCAGCTGAATTAGAAATCAAGAGCTGATCTTTGCTGATTCCAAGCAGTCATTTCCACAAAATGCCAGCTGGTCAAATAGCCCACTTAAGAAAGTACCTGCGGGCTAAATGTTATTCTCTGGGAACAGTCTCTTTATGTGCAGCTTGCAGAGAGCAAGAGTGCTTTGGAGGTAGAAGTCATGTTGAATAGTGACACTGTCATATGCAAAAGGAGAAATAGATTTTAAGTATTCCTTGAGAAAATGAGTTTGGGTGAGGGTAACAGCTTCATCTGTCACAGTCATAAATCCAGGGAAGAAAGATGTTACGCTGGTGCTGTGACAGGGCAGAATGTGATTTCACATGGATGGCACACATTTCTCCTGCCATCTGTATTGTGAGATGCCCGAAGGCCCCAAATAGCTTGCTTTTCCAGGACTAAACAGCAACTGTGATATACCCAGAAAGCAGAGAGAAAAAACATAGGAATACACACGTGGGTCAGTGCTGACCCCTGCACATCTGAGTTGCAGAGTGACCTGACGGCATCGTCTGTCTCAAGTCCCCTCTTCTTCCTCTGCCTGGGGAGGAGATGAAAGGTTGAGGTGGGAAGAAAAAGCCCTGCTTCTCAGGGACAGGGTTTATTTTCCAGAGAAGCATTCAGTGGCCCAGCCTTCCCTGCACCAAGGGTTTGGAGGCAGCTCCTGAACACCCTCAGGGATGGCAACGGAGGGTGAGCTGTCCGGGAGTTGGTCCCCATCCCTGTATCCACAGTGGCACTGCATCCCACGGGTGCTTCTTTCCCCCTTTTGGCTGGGGAGGGCATAGGAGCTGGTGGTGCCGATGATGGGGGCTTCAGGGGTGCTTCTAGGGTAAAATCCAACCACTTTCCCAGGCAGCACCCGTGCAGGGACTTCTTTCAGTGAGCTGGACAGAGGGACTGCTCAGTTGGGATGTACACCCTGACACCTTGGGATGGCACGCTGTGGGAGGCTGGCGGGACTGTGACCACTTGGCCAAGCACTCTGCTTTCCCCCAAATTGTTTACTTTCCACAATTTCCACTTACATAAGAGTTCTGCTTTATTTCTGCACGCCCCGAGGTCACTCAGAAGTGAGACAAGGCTGAGCTATAAACAAAGCCCTGGGCAGGCTGTTTCTCCTTGAGTTCCTTTTTAGTTCTCAGGGTTGAACTTGAAACAAATCCTGTTTCAGGGGTGGTGAGTGTGTGTCTGCCTGGTGCTATGGCAGAGAGAAGGCTCAGACACAGCGGGCTGGACATGGGAGATGCCATACTGTCCCCTCCTGTGCCTCTATAGCTGCACTTAAAGACTGGCTGGCACCTATATGGGTATCAGCTGGTGAGGACTGCAATGCACAGGTATATGTGTACGCTCTGATAAATGTAAAGGCAAGAAGCAAGCGTCAGCATAGCCCTGTTTGTTTGCACTATCTGAAGTCAGGGGTTTTTGCGATGCTATCTCTGCAGCAGGGTGCAGTGGGGTGCTGGCTGTGGCGGGGCCTCACCCCA